TATCTACGGGATTAGTGGGTTATGAAGAGCAATGTGCCGAAGTGTGCAAAGACATTCCATTTCCCTTCCGCATGATCCAGTCCGAGCTCCGCCGCGCGTGCGTCTTTCCGCGGCATCTCCCACGACTCCAGGCGAGACACCGCACGCACTCTTGTCCGTCAAGCAAGTCCATCGAGATGGGATGCGCCTACTGACTGATGAGTAAACCACATCAGTCTTCCAATTCTGCAACACCGTTGACGACTCGGCGTATGGCGGGTAGATGGATGACGCCGGAAAATCTTTGGATGGAATGGGGTGGACGGGGTGGACGGTCAAAGGGGACGAATGTAGAAGTGGACGTGACAGATGGACGGAGAAATGTTCGATTCGGGGAACACATGCAAGCCGGATAGAAGGGATTGTCCCAGCTCCAATATGCAGCCCAGCGAGGAAAACGCGGAGAGACCCGCGCACAACCATCATCGTCGAAATAAGCTTTCGTAAGGCCCCGCTAGTCAAATTTGTGGTCTCTCGCGGTTGGGTTCACCCTGCAAGATCTCCAAGGGGGAAGCCGCCCAGCAAGCTTGTACTCAAATATCCGTAACGCAGCTTGGCGTATTAGACCGAAAGTCTGCTCTTCCTTCTGACCCCTTATCCGCGGCTATAGTGCTTCCCAATACGATGATTTCGTTACTCTGCAGTGCCTGCTTCCGAAGCTGAAGGGAGTTGTATGGGCGCGTGTTTGAAAACGGAACTCTGCTCATCTTGGCCCCTTCAAGCCCGTCGACATTTGGCGCGTCGATTTCGAAAGTTGGACTTCAGCTTTCACCATCGAAAGTGTCTTTTTATTTGTTTTAAGGTGTCTGATTGGAATGCTGACTGTCGGCACGGCAAGCGATTGGCTGAGTTTGTTTTGTTGTTCCTGAAGAGGTGCCCAGTCGCGCAAAATTGCCACTTGCCAGGCGATTTTTAACTACCCCAGACGGTTTGTCGATTACAACATGGTGACACAGCTTGGCAGAAACATGGAATGTTGTCAATGATCATGGTATTTCATAATTCATCGTATACATGACGCAGTAGTGTGCTTGCGCCTGACTGTCTGTCTACTTTTCTGTGCCTATTCGTGTGCTGGAGTTGTTCGTGTTGTTATCGTGTTTGACTCGCAGAGCCCGTCCCCTTCTCCCTAACCAATTGTCCGTTCAATATGAGATGAGCCAAACAGGCATTAGACGTGTTCGTTTTTGTGATCAAGATCACATCCGATCCTTGTCCTTGACCGGGTCTTCAAACATCCAGATGTTCGTGCTTTCAGGTCTTGCCTTGCCTTTACTAGATTGCGCGTACTTGTCGATAGGACTTGGGTGAGACTTGTCGGGGCTCCGAATTTCCTTCAGCTCCAACCCAACGACTCTTTCAAGGTCCTTTGCTTTGAAGTCTCCCGTCATCGGTGTCCCGTCCTGTTGCCATGGTGGTGTTTCGTACCATAAGTCGGGATGCACCGTGGAATTCCGCCGACGCTTGTTGAATAATTTGGGGAACCACTGCTTTAGCTTTGCGACTACTCTGTTGAAAAGCTCTTCTGCCAACGGCCTGAATCCTGGGATGGAGAGTGCGATGAGCGTCGCACCGATTTCGGATACTTCAATGGCGAGAAGCGGGCTGTAGATCCATGACTGGTCTGGTTGCCATTGACCGTTGATAACTAAAATGAGACGGGCGATTGAAATAGCGACAACACTATGAGTAGTCAGTGAGTGTACGGTCGAAGGGCCAGCTAGCCACTACTCACAATATTCCGGGCAGCAGAATGCAAGCAAGCTGAATCTTCCTCTTTCTTGTCATTTCCAACATCCATAACATCGCTACGGGTATTCCGAAAAGAACAAAGTCGCAAAGCAATGAAACTGCCGAGTTGATTCCGTAGACAAAACCCCATGGAAGGCATTTATACTGGTTGAATTGTGACTGCCATTCGTAGGGCCATATCGCTGTCACGGGAAGACAGTGGAAGATGATGAGAAGCATCTGTGTGATGTAGCCGGCGATCAGAAATAGTCCGGCTCCCTTAATTGCGAGGAGGAATCGGCTGTGGACGCCGCACACTCGGTAATAAAACGCTAGACCCGAAAACCGGCAAACGAAGAGCGCGCTTGTGTAGATCAGGTGGGCGGTGAAGTCGAGGATCTCTGTCTCTTCCAGAATATCTTGGGTCATGACGAATTGGATGAATTCAAAATGTCGACCAGAGCCGATGTTGATGAGGATGATGCACAGTGGAACGAAGGCTATGAACATTGCCTAGCGCTGTTGTCAGCTCCAATGCTCTCTCCGTGAGACCTGCCCGGCTAGCTTACCATGGATATCACTGCCAATGTGTCATCTATTCCAAAGCTTTTCCGTAGGAAGAATCGTGAAAAGGCGCGACCGTTGACGATTACCAACGTAATGGCGAACATGAAGATTGACGCATCCATCGAAGGCCCGTCTCTGTCTTCCTCCAAGTATGCGAGGCTGATTTCCGGTGGTACACGACCGGCCGCGACGGCCGCGGCGGCCTCTGAGTCGCCCATCATTTTGATGGTGACCGGTGAGATGTTGACAGTCTGGTTGAAGGTGTCATGCGGGAGGGAGAGATGTGCATCCTCGACGATCAGGAACAGGAACGCACAAGTCCTCGGATGATAAAGTGCTTCCCACCCAAAAGCTTTATGTTGCTGCACTTCTCTCTTCGCCTCTTGCTGCGGAATAATGCAACCTTGCATCTTGAGTTGGGATCTGATCGGATGACACAGATTCCCCAACTCTAAATACAGCAAGGATGGGCAACGGTGTGGAAGTTGGTGTGGTGCGCCTGGCCTGGCGAGTGAGGCTGCCAAGAAGGTTGGCGCTTGTGTCTGGACTGAAGAAAAGCTTAGGAAAGCTTAACTTGAGCGTTTTGTAACCAATGTCCGTGCCATCGGCAGTTAGCGGGCCTTTTGCTACAATTGAGCGAAATGGTGATGCGTGATGTCATGTTTCTGGAATGGAAATGGCCGATACGTCGTATTCTCCTTCTTACTCAATGTTGGACCTTCTTGTACGGTGGTATCGAGGTTAATGACATATGGGTAAGGGGAGAAGGCTAATTCGACATGGCAGAGAATGGAGGTGTCACATACAACTTAGGAAACTCCCGTTAGCCGTGGCAGAGCTTCTCAATGGTTGCATTTCGGAAGCGGAAGGCTGAAGCCAATCGGGAGATCACGTACGCGATCTCCTTGGACTTTCCGACAACTGGGGATGACCTTTGAAATAGTCAGATCCCGAGTCTGAGAGGTTGTCACGCTGCAGGGGTCCACCCATCTTCCAGATCAAGTGTTCGTTGCTTCGATTCGAGGGTGTTGTCGAAACGAGATAATCAGTACGTAGTGTGGGAAGCACCGAAGGTTTTTGTTCGGTTTTGCCCATTATGTCTTTTGTTAAGGGCCAATTTGGACGACTTCCGTTGGAGCTTCCAGACGACTCATTGCGGCGGCAGATTCTGACAAGAATGTTTTGGTCCTCTGTGCTCGTGCCACGAGGAACGGCTTTTGGCCGTTGGCACAGCGCAGTGCATGAGCTCCTTCGTTCTCTCGTGGGGTATCGGACGAGTGGAACATTCGTCTCGAACGTCTCAGACGAACAGCAGTAGCGCGATTGAACTGAGTCCAAGCATCACCGAACAGCGAAAACGAAGCCAAAAGACTTTTGCTGCCCATTCCTACTCTCAGAAGATCTAAAGAAGACCGAAGCCGCCGTTCTACATCTCTGGTTCGCGGGCTCCGAGTCGGCCGTCGTCCGGTCTCGTTGGGCAAGAAAAGAACACAGGTGCCAAAACACTGAAGCTGAATAGGGTCGGGCTTCCGAATACGGGAGTCATAGATTTGGGGTGTCAAGGTTGAGTCTGACTCTTGTATTTGTGATCAGTGCACGCTCCCGTGCAATGGAGTTCTGACAGCCTTGATCTCAAGGGAAAGGCCGCCCGGAGTATTCGATCAGCCTCCGTAAACTCCGTGTTAGGCAATCCGGGACTCCTTTTTAGATAGGTCTCGCGAGACTGTCTTCCGTACTCAGATGGAAGGTGAACTTGACGTGGGTCGCTTCCGATGCCATTGCAGTGACTCCCGCCTGGGCGATGCACTTTGTAATCAGACAGCCGGGGCGACAGGCCTGTTTCTGGACAGTTTGTCAAACTCTTCCCAGTGAGATATTTGACCCTTTGAAATTTTGGGACAAACCGTTGCAGACAACTTGTTAGAACGTTTCCTATTCAACAAATGATTAACATCATGTTTCTAAGTGACAGATATCAGGGCACCTGATCTTCCTCATGTCCCTCTTGAACCGTCTAATGAGTCGCTAATGATCTGAAAACGCTCATATATGTCGCTTCGATCCAACAGACCTCCAATCTATTCTCCAGGTCAGTGGTCAGGTGGCACGGTATAGTAGGTAGATTGTGGAGCAAGTTGAGCCAAGGTGGATTTGTAGGGACGCAGCTGGTTGTTGAGGTATTCCAAGCCTTGGCTCCAGTGAAAAGGAGGCAGCTTTTCTGTGCGGTTCCACCTCAGTTGAATCTTCGTTACTAAGTTAAAGGGGAAAGAATGCGGACTTTGTTGATGAACTGCTGGAGGGAAGGTGTGATATATTATCCAGTCACTCAGCTCCTTCCCAGTTAGGGAACAGTGAAGCTGTTGATCCCATCATGAGGGCCCGTGCTTGGGAGTTGTTGTTGCCCTCACTCACTAACTCACTTGCTCGCTCCATACACTACTCCTTACTGCGGTCGTGAAAGACGCAGAAATTCTTTTCTTCTATTTATGAAAGTTCTTTCAGATCGAACTTCACAGCATTCTTTTCGACTCACTTTTCAGGAATACCAAAATATACCAAAATATCTGCGCTGAGGCCACGGGCCTACGTCAACAGCCCAGCACGTTCAAGGTACGGTAGTCTACCTAACACTGTAATTCTTCCACTCATCAAATATCTATCAGATGAACGATCTTGTGTCCCTGCCGCCTGGCATGAAGTCCGAAGACATCCCTATTCCGAGCCAAGAATCCAGTCGCGAGTTCTCTCTGCCGTTCAGGTCTTCTCCAGCTGTAAGTCTACCCCGTCGGGCTCGTCTCAAACAAAATTACTAATACTGCCTTGAAAAGCCGTCCAATCGATCACTCTCCTTGGTCATTGAAAGAACACCGGGCCCCAGAAAAAGCGCCAAGGGCGCTCATATCGATCCAAGCCTTCTTCGAATCCAGAAGTACCTGAAGTATCCTGGCCTCGATATGCTAGACATCATCATCACTGAGCAGAACTAAGGTTTCGTCACTGTCTTCGGCCTCAACCGGGATCGAGTCTTCCCCGGCCCACCAGACCTGCCTATCGAGCCTACCGACATGCCGTCCTGTGTCTGCTACAAAGTTGAACACCTGTTCTCCATCGTCTTTGGAGTTCTTTATGCGAACAAAGACTCAGTCATGGACTGGCGTCAGTATTGGAACAAATTCCAACGGCTCCTTTCCAAAGAGAACCCTTTGTGGAAGACAGAGGTCACTGCCAACAAGATCCGAGACCTTGTTCAGCTGTTTAACAATGCGCGGATGAACTATCTTGAGAATCCATCAGTCTCGAAGCTCCCATGCTTGGCTGATCGCCAGAACTGCCGATTCCTCAATTCAATCGATCGATGCATTGCGTTCAAGGCAGACAAGTTCTCTACTACTGACATGCTGCAATTTGAGGCGAATGATCGATGGATGAATAGCTATCGGGTTAGAAGATATCAACGTCATCAGGATGTCGGGCCCGTTCACCCAGCACCTGCCCCTCCGGCTCTGATGGCTCCTACGATTTCAATGATAAACCCAGAAGCTATCATTGCTTTGATGGCCACAGGTCAATCAAAGACAAAGACTTGGCACTAGTTACATCTTGCCTGTTTCTTACACTGGACACTGCTACGTCCATCACTCTAGTTACTATTATTAATGAATGAACTATACCTCCAGGCATGAAGGAAAGGTGATTTGGTCTCACCATAGGAGACAATTGCGACATTCATCTTCTTTAACTTCCTCCAGCGACCTTGTCTGTGTCTCTCATATAACCTGAACTCCTTCGCAAATTCTGCACCGGGCTCCAGCTTGAGAGGTCAAGGTCAGCAACAACAGATAGGTTGATCTCATCGAAAGGTATGCCCGCGGCCAGCAGGATTGCCTTGCCAACAAGGCGAACCCGAAGTTTCAGCAGCTGCCTGATCACCAGAATTCCCGCCTTCTCAGGGCATTTGACCAATGAACCGCGTCTCATGAGCTGGATGCTTCGGCTTTCCCCAAACATTTGTGAGTTGATGCCAAGAGTCATCTGGCTAAAATGCATCTGATCAGGACTACCACGGGATAGGCGTGGACAGCTGCACAAGAGGCTTGGATGCGTGAGAACATCTCTGTTGGTAGGTACTAGATGGTGGAAATAGAGGTCTGTAGATTGGGTGCGATATCATGCGATGGTCTTAGGATCAGAAGGGTTATTAGAACAGGTCTTGACTCTTTGCCTCTTAGAAACTTTACACTTGCGTCGTCTCTGAGAAACGTTTTAGAAGGATGCCATCCTAACGACAAATAATGAGATTTGTTTCTGTGCATTGTACACAATGATCATATGAGTCTCTCTCTTACCTTGGTCTTTTGATTGAATTATCAGCGGTAACAGCAAGCCGTCAGTGTAAAAGATGAAGTTCTCATGATTATGATCAGCAATCCAGGATGAGAGGGATTTCCCCGCCCAGGGTTTGATTGATTCAAGATTAGAGGAAGGAATAGAGGTGCCTCTTTCTTTTTGATCTACCTCAGTCGTGATGAATCTAGGTAAAGTGCTGAAGCACCGAAGACACACACTCCCTTCACATGAATTCCCCTTTCTGTGCTTGCTATGTGCAAGTTTGTATCTTGGCAATCGAAGGTGCCTCATATTTTGCCTGCATGCTCAAAGAAAACCTCTGACTGCCTCGAAGATAAATAGACCGCCATTGGCTCCTTCCTCTCTCAAAAGCAAAGACGTTATCGTGAAAGCCTCCCCTGATCTCTTCTCATTTGCGCTTCTTACCCTGGCGCGCAAGATAGCCATTGATGCTGGCCATCGTATTAGCCCGGTAGCGCTCTCTGTTTCTTCTGTCCTCCACATTGTTCATGGCCGTTTCGTAGGCCGCACGCTCCTCAGGAGTGGCCTGAATGGCTCTCTCAATGCGAGCCTTATGCTCCTTGTTCTTCATCACCTGAGCCTCCTTCGCCTTCTGCAGGCGCTCCTTCTCCTCTTTTTCAGCCTGGTCCTGTTCTTTCAGGCGCTTCGTCTCCTCGAGCTGGGCTCGGCGCTGCTCCTGGATCAGGCTATGAAGTTTATAGACCTCCTTCGCCTTATCCGCCTCATCAGCGACAGAGTAGTCACCCGGGGATAAACCCTGGGCGGCGGCAGGAGCAGCCGAAGAGGTAGCAGAAGCAGCAGGAATGGAGCTGTTAGTGGTAGGCCCACCAGAAGGGCCCGACTTGTTGTTCTCCTCGGGATCCATCCCGTGGGCGGCGGCGAGGTCGGCGGCGGTCGCGTTGGGAGACATGCTGTCGCGAGTTTGTCTGATGTCTTCACATCAAAGTTAGCTTAGGATGACTGCAATTGGGATTTCATCTGGCAGGGCTGTCTTACCTGGACTTTGTTGATGAATGGTGTCGAAGTTTGGGATGGACTTGCGGGTCGGTGCTGTCGTGCAAAGTCGAAGGAAGCAGCCTTCACGCAAAAGCTGAGGCGGAGCAAGATGGAGGTGCCTGGATGGAAGTTGTTTCTGCACGGAGAGGTGATTGCGTAGCCGGGATGAAGTCTAGAAGGGATGGTGACGCTTGAGCTTGCGATGCAGGGAGAATAGATCGCGCTCGTGCAAAGGCGGAGAAGTATGAAGAATCTGATGTAGTCAGAATATACAGCAGTGTGAAAGAAAAGAGGCTGACACAAAGGCGAAGATCATAAAAGAGTGCCCGAGGCGTTAAAAGTGCGCTAATAGTAGGGTTCAACCCATCTAGAATATGACTCCTGAATACTTCCAGAGAGATTCTATTCAGAATTGCCCCACTTTGCCTACGCGCATGGAATCTGGGTCAGGTTGGCTTTGGAGGGCACGCCGTCAAGCTGGGAGGTGCCTTCCTTACATGTATGGTACCTTACAGTTGAAGGTGCAGCTCTTTTAGTCTTCCACTTGAGTCTGCGCTTCCGCCAGCGGTACAATATATAGAACTTTCAGTATCATTAGAGAGGATAGTCGGTCAACATGGCGTCAGCGTTCAAGAGGTGCTTCAGGATTCCTAGGCAGATCCTGCGATGACCCTTAGCTGACATGGACGCATCAACTGTCTACAAGGCATATACCAGCTCGAAGTGAGTAATTTGGCTGTCTTTTCCCATCTAATTATATCTTCCTCCGTCTCAAAAATGTTCTCAATCTTTACTTAACAGTGCTAGTCATCTTGGCTAATCATGCCCGCTCCAGTAGCAAAGGTGCTCACGCAAAAGCTTGCAGGGGACTGAGAGTTGAACAGCTTCTTGTGTCAACCCCAAAGAAAATCATTCAGAATATGAGAAACACAGGATGTTTCCCCAAATAAACAGCTTGTGACGAAGTGTGGACCACTCTCTGTGGGCAGCGTTAACTACACTCATATACCTCATGACACAACTCGACTGCCAAGCCAAACGTCAAAGAGCGAGTACAAACCAGGCATCACCCCAATCGCGCAACTGGGACCCGAAGCAACGGAACTATTCAATTCTTTATCATATCTTGCAAAATCCTATGTTTGTCAATCCTCGATGCCAAGCAATCACGTCATCCGTGGTGGTAGACATTTCACAAGGCCTTGCTCACACATTATGAATGGTGGAAATACGTTCACCCCAACAACCAACCGACCAACAATACGTTAGGTAATAGTTTGCATGGCAACATTGCAAAGAGGATCGCCATCCCCAGACCCCCCACAACATGTATCCACAATCTTCTCCGGATTCCGCACTTTGCTTGAATACTTAAGAGTCCGTTTGCCAGAATTAGAGTTGCAAGCAAGCAAACGATGCATCCTCATCCCGCCGGCTTCTTGGGGCAAACTGCAGTATCTTTACGCCAAGACGTTTTCCGAAGTCTTGCCCCCGCGTCTTCGCGCCCAAACTGCAGATGGAGAAAGCGGCTTCCTCGGAACCAGGGCCCGAGACCCGCCAGAATGCTTCTGACCCCCACCAGCCAGACCGGTTCGAGGAAAGACGCATTTCCTCCGCATCCCACCCCCGCACGGATCTGGAGAACTTACCCGAGCGGATGGCGGCCACCACACAGGGTCTCTCGACAACGACATCCGTAGCTGACACCGGTGCGAATCCGGATCACTACCCCGAAGGTGGGAGGCAGGCTCTCATTGTACTCTTCGGGGCTTGGTGCGTTCTGTTCTGTACTTTTGGTTTGGGAAACAGCATTGGCGTCTTTCAAACGTACTATGTGACCGATGCCCTTCGCGAATACAGTTCATCCACCATATCATGGATTACCAGCTTTATGCAATGGACTTTGAACTTCATGCCCATCGTCGTATGTCCAATACTTCTCCGAACCGAATCACTTATGATCCACTGACAACTAACGCAGTGGGGATTTGCCTTTGATAAATGGGGTCCACGGTGGCTTCTCATCTGTGGATCTATAACCTACGTCTTTGGCATAATGATGGTCTCATTGGGATCCGAGTACTTCCACTTCTTCCTCGCCCAAAGCATCGTCTGTCCCATCGGCGCCAGCGCTGTGACGAGCGCGAGCATGTCATGCCTCGTAACATGGTTCCATCGTCGTCGTGCAACTGCTTTCGGCATCATGATGTCTGGGTCCTCTGTCGGTGGCGTCATTTTGCCAATCATGATCCCGCGAATGATTGAGAGTGTCGGGTTCCCGTGGGCGATGCGTGCCGTTGGCTTCATGTTTCTCTCTCTTCTGGCAATCGCGTGCTTCACCGTAAGGTCCCGCCTGGCACCTCAGACGAAGCCGGTGGACATGAAGGAGTACTTCCGGGGCATTCGGGAACCTACAATGATGTCTACTGTCTTCGGTCTATTCTTAGTCTTCTGGGGTCTATTTGTTCCCTACGCCTTTGTTATCTTGCAAGCCAAGGCGCAGGGTATGGACGACGGTTTGGTCATCTACTTGCTTCCCATCATGCATGCCGTAGGGTACGTCCTAAAGCCCCTCTTCAGGGCCTTCACAACTCCAAAGAACCCTCACTGACCTCTCAATCAGCTTAATCGGGCGTGTCATTCCAGGCCTAGTAGCCGACAAAATAGGCCGCTACAACATCATGATCATCCTCGCCACCCTCACCGGCATCGCGTGCCTGGCCCTGTGGATCCCAATCAAGAGCAACGCCGGCATTCTAGTCTTCACAGCGGCCTTTGGCTTCCTCTCGTCAGGGCTGACCTCCATCGGTCCGACGCTGATTGCCCAGATTTCAGATATTCGAGAGATTGGCGCCAGGACTGGCACGGCTTTCGCGTTCCAGTCGTTTGGCGCGCTTACGGGGAGCCCGATTGCGAGTGCGATTGTCGATGCGCGGGGAGGGGATTATTTGGGCCTGCAGCTGTTTTGTGGGTTTTCGATCCTTGCTTCGGCGGGGGTGTTTGCTTCGGCGCGGTACGTTCAGGCTGGTGGGTTTGAGCTTAAGAAGGTTTGATGAGGATGGTTACGTTGTCATTGTTTTGGATAGGGCATCCTTAGGTGGACGCGTGAGGTCATTGAATCATAGACCGTCAGAGAGGCAGGTATATTGACTGATAGACAAGGAGCTTTTGCTACCTATCACACCCATATACTCTAATTAGACCAGTCCAACGCCTGATAGCCGTATTCTCCAACCCTTCCTTTGTCTGATGGTGCCAACATGTAACAGTGACCCTTCCATCTTCCTCCAACGAGATACCGGCATCGAGACGTCTTGGTGTACAAATCAGAAATCAGGGATATTGTGCATCTCCTTGTAGTCATCAAGGTCATTGGCAGTCCACTCCACATTCTCGCCGCCTCGGAGAGCCTCAAGCTCATTGAGGTCATCAAGGATGTGGGCGAACAGCATCTCCTGGCCGGAGATGCTACCGTGCTTCTCGGCAGCCTCCATCTCAGCCATAGCATGAGTCACAGCGCCAGTAATGGTATCGGTCAAAGAGGGGACCAAGGCGGCGGCCGTAGCCTCGGCGTTCTTCTCCATAAGCTTCTTCTTCTCATCCTTGATTTTCTCATACTTGGCTCTGAGGGCCGTGATCTCGGTCTGAGCCATTTGAGCAGCTTTGTTGGCCTGATCGGTCTGCTGAGTGATGGTCTCAATGACCTTGTCCTTGGCGTTGAAACCATCGAGTGCGTCCTGGATTGTCTTGGTCACGGCAGCCCGGAGCTGGTCCGCCGAGGTCTGAAGACCGTTGCTGATCTGATCAATATGCTGGTGGCTGACCTGGAGTGCAGCGAAAGCATCCTGGATTATCAGGTCTGCAGTAGACTGGAGATGGTTCGCCAAGATCTGGAAGGCAGGCGGGACGGTAGGGGCGGACTGGGCAGGGGCGGCTGGAGCAGCAGGAACAGCGGGAAGGGAGCTAGAGGAACCCTTTCGGCCAATTCGATCGACATTGAAGCAATCGAAAAGGTCGAGAAAGGTCTTGTAACGCCCGCCTTTGGGAGTAGCGTGGATGGCGGCGAGTTTGTCAATGGAGAGCTTGCGAGCGTCTCCGATGGCGATCATTACAGCCTGGACGTGGTGATTCTTGACGTCCGGAAACTCGGCCCATCTCTTCTCCTTGAACAGGCTTCGCAGAGCGGGGACCCAGGCCAGGTGGTGATTCTTGTCGATCAGGGCGTTCTTGCCGTTGCTGGCAGCAGCGACGACCTTGAAGTACGCGGCGAGAAGATCAGCACCACGGCGCGCAATGAGCTTAGCCATGTCGGTGGGAGTGTCATTCGCGTAGCCCTGGGTGAGGAGCTTGAGCTGAGGAGTGCCCGGCTGCGCGATGATGGGACCGTTGTCGCCGACTTCGAAGATCAGGCCAGGAATTCGGATGAGGCATTCTGGTCGGCGCAGATGGGAGCTGCCTCGCCATTACCCCTGCCTCCAGAGCCGGAAATAATCAGGCTGCTTCTGAACGACATGATCTACATGGGATTATCACTCGAAGACTGGGCGGAGAGATCTGGGAGAGGGATCAAATTACTCTAGTCTTGAGTCGGGATGGTTGATGCAGACTGATCGGTTCTCGATTGAGTAACGGTTCGAAGAGGGTCGAGTGAAAAGGACGAGAGAAGATTATCCAATAGGGGAAAGGTGCGATGAGTTTTGCGATGTGAGGTGATGCAAAGTCGCGGTGTTGAGGAGGATGGGTGGAGGGGAAGGTGTTGTGGGAAACAAGAAGTGAGGTCAGGAAAGGTTGAATGTTGTGGGAAAATTTGAAAAGTTCGGGAAGCAGGACTGCAGGCGGTGGGAGGAATTATTCAGAGCAGAAGGTGCGTTGACCGCCCAACCTATTCAGAAGTGAATATAATTTGGCTCATCTAGACGCGTTGGGCCTCTTCGCTTGTTTTTCACCTGTTAGACCGCGTCGATGAGTGAAATCAGGAAGGAGCCTTTCCATCCACGAGGTGATACCTGCCCAAGAAGTTCCCAAAGTCAAAGGATCCTCATCATGGCCAGAGTCGATCCAAGGCTTTTGCAAGTCCAGGTTTGCCAATCTCTTTTTCGATTCATACAAACAGATTTTGAAGTGTTGAAGCTGGACGTTGGTCACATTACACTCTCTCAATCAGCCTTCAATCCGTCCAACAAGTGACTCCCTGTGCGCCAAATAATCATTGCCATCTCGATGTCTCCAGGAATCTCTGCAAGCCTCCTCTGGGCTTTCCCAGCTATGTCCATTGGTGATTCGACAATGGCTTAGTATTGTTGGAACACGGTTTACATAGATCCCAGAATTCCCAGGGAGCTTCGGCGTATGGACTAAGGGACGGGAGAATGGGACATCCCTGGCGCTATGACTTTGTCACTCGGCTTTAATCTACGATTCTGCTCCTTTGCTTCATTATACACATCTATCATGTCATTTTCAGATCCCCTTTTAGGATCTTTCCCGGGCGGAACATGTCTTTAGCCTTTGGGGCCAGCACGACGAGGAAGAATGGTCACTATAGGATCATGAGGCGGAGAAATTGATTGCTCCAATCACTTGCAAACGCTGCTCGGAAGTGAAGGTCAGGCTAGTTGGCTTATTGTACCTTAACTTACTAGGTAGTTAACATGATATAGGTTGAACCAACAGTCGAAGCAAGGGGCAATCCAAGGCCACGTGACAAGTAGAATATTCACTGGGCAGTCGTATCGTGACTGCCTAGTATTCCTGTGGAGTGGGGAAGGGGGGTATATAGGAACAAAAAATGCTCAAAAAGTCAACCCAGTAGAGAGGAAGATGTTTTCACCCTGGAAGTGACTTACCGCCGGAAGATGGTTGAGCGGTTGACGTCCCGTGGAGACTGGCATTCGATTGCCCAATTTGTATGGCCATCTGGAAATCTCGTGGGTTCGAATCACCCTCAGCGCTCTGCGTCCATTTCTTTTTTTCCTTCTTCCAATTCGTTTGGGCTTGGTTCTCTATCCTGACTGTTTCTTTGAAGTGTTGCCGACATTCTTGAAAGACGAATGATACTCTTCTTGTTTTCTCTATTGCTCGATGTGAACAGCATTTCTGATGCACCCGCCACGTGGATACAAACCCTCACATACATATGAGGTTGACCAAAGTCCCATCGCTTACAGATGCGCCCCGAAGAAACGGTCCGAGGCGTGGGGCCAACTTTACCCAAAAAGCCAATACCCCCGGCCCGTCATTTCCTTGGCTTCTGCGCGCCGAAGATCCACCTTCCGATGAACTCTCCTCCGTCTTGGCAAAGGCAAATGGAACATTCGCATGATGTCTTCCCGAGTGTCCCTTCAAACCAAAAAACCCGATAGTATGGATCGCGTATCTTGCCATGGGGGTTTCAAAAAGATATTACCGCAACGCCAAAAGAGGCGCTCGGTTTCGCTCCACTATCAACCTTCGGACTGAGGCCCTGGGCCTTGTGGATCGCCATCTCCACGAATCCATCCCGCGAATGTAACCACATCTCCGCCCCTTGGAGAATTCCTTGGACCAGCAATCTCGAGAACTGGAGCCCCGAAAGAATCTCGACCTTTGGGCGGCCGCCATCAAAAACCCCAGTCGACAGCCCCCGTCATCGCCGGATACTTAAAAACCATGACCCCGATCTCCGTCTACCACAGCGTCGCACTCGATCCGTCCTCTTAGTCGTATCCCTCAACCTTCGGCCGTCCCTCTCCGCGCAAAGATGGTCCGCCTCTCAATCGCCTCAATCCTCTCCCTCGGTGTCGTAGCCACACGGGCCCTAGCCACAGGGAACTGCACCGGCGTCAACGCAATCAGCACGAAATGCGCCTCCAAAGAAGCCGCCCACACCCGCGAATTCTTCTACGTTGGAGGCCGCTACATCGAGACAACCTCGGGAAACGTCACAGTCGACCAGCTCTACGTCGAAAAACTAGTTCCTGTCACCACCAGCCGGACCCGCCGCCGTAGCACTATCACAACACCAAAACCTATTGTTTTCTTCCACGGAGGCGGAACAACAGGCGTAACATGGCTCAATACACCCGACAACCGCCCAGGCTGGGCAACCTACTTCCTACAACAAGGCCACACAGTCTACCTCGTCGATACCGCCGCCATCGGCCGCTCGACAGAGAACAACCTCGCGAATTTCACCATGATCGCCGGCACAGCGGCCGAGGGCGTGGGAAAGGGCTTCACGCATGTCGAGGCATACGGCGCCTATCCGCAAGCTGTCCTCCATACCCAGTGGCCCGGCACTGGGCAAAAAGGCGACCCAACATTTGAGCAGTTCAAAAAGACTATCCTCCCGCTGTCTACAAGCTGGGTTCCGCAGGAACACGCTCTTCGCGCGTCGGGTTGCGAGCTTCTTTCGCTGCTGGGCGAGAAGGCGTATCTCATCTCGCACTCCATCGGCGCCCGCGCGCCGATTCTTCTATCGAATGATTGTCCGGAGTACATTGCAGGAAACATCAACCTCGAAGGCACGACAGTCCCATTCTGGTCATTCGAGAGCCGCTCAGCGACGAACGCGTGGGGGTTGACGAATACGCCTCTCGACTACGATCCACCCGCCGCCAGCGCGGCGGAGCTCGAGACCGAGGTTGTGGGGAACGATACGCTTGCGCATCGGAGTTGTTACCGGCAAAAGGAGCCGGCACGGCAACTGCCCAAGATTGCGAGCGTGCCGTATTTGATGGTTACGACGGAGGCGAGTGTACATGTCACGTATGATCACTGTACTGTGGATTATCTGAAGCAGGTTGGTGGGCAGCCGGAATGGATTAAGCTGGGGGAGATTGGGATTCGTGGAAACGGGCATTTTATGCACTTGGAGAAGAATAGTTTGGAGATTGCGGCGGTGGTTAACAACTGGATTCAGGAGAAGGAAGGGGCTTGACATCGTGAGGAAAAGATCGTGGTGTCGCCCTTCCCAACAATAAGAAAGATGGCTGAGTTGAGAAAGAAAATTCGAGCCTGAGAGGCCCATGAGTTTCTTCAAGCCAGCATGCGATGTCCATGTGTAACTATAATACTATCGAAAGGCATTAAGTTTCAGGCCTGAGGGCTATTTTCATAGATGGATTGCTCTGATGTCTCGTGGACAGGAGAAATCCGTGCTCACCACTGACAGAAGACAATTATCAGAATGCTACAAGACCATAGTAGTCTGCTAGTCCTATCCCAAAACTGGGGCCATGATGTCGAGAAGGATAACATCTAGATCGGAATGGGCCTTCATGACATCGGGGGTTCTTGAGCTGGTTTGGGCTCAGCACCTTGAGAGAGGGGACAATTGTCCGCGCAAGGAAGGATTATGGTAAACATTGTAAGGTAAAAAAGTATAGGTCTAAGTGTGACCATCATTGCTTTGGTTCTTGTTTGATCTAAATACAGATCATACTTTACACACGTCCCAAGCTACGAATACATAAAATGAGATGAAGACAATGTTGTATAGAAACAAAGGGGATAGAAATCGATTTCGACCACCCAGGGATATCACACGCTAGATCCTAAAAGAGTATATATATCATCAGAAACACTTCCGTCTAAAGTTTCGCCGACGACAGCTGTTACGCTGTTACATCCGGTGCATCACCGTCTGCGACCAGATCGGCAGGAAAATGAAAATCAACGTGCTCAAGCACGCAAAGACCGCACCGCCAACCATGGCCTGGAGGACAATCTTGTGCTGGAGCCTGCGCAGGTGGACATCCTTGACACGAATCTTGCGATCAAAGATCATCATTCGCGAGACAAACTTCATAAGACCAGAACGTTGCGATAGAAGAGAGGCGCTGTCGTCGAAGCGTTCCCAGGGCAGGGGCTGACGTCTCGTGAAGAGCAGCAAGAAGAAACAGCTACCTCGCAGGCCGGAGAAGATGAGAGACATGCCGACGAACCACATTGGCCAGGGCGCAAAGGCGTTCCACCGGCTGTTGGCGCCCATGAAGGGAACGAAGGCCTTGAGGAGCACGCAGAGGAAGCCGCCGATGGTGAGGGCGATGCCGACGCTGGTAGCCATGCAGAGAGTCTCGAAGGTTCCGTTGGAGACACCGAGGCGGACAAAGTTGCGGTGGGAGCAGTTCTTTAGGAGTCCGTATACGTGATCTGCGATTGGCTTGAGGTGGATCGGGTCGGAGGAGTGCTGCAGATTGAGAAGGGCGGTATCGCGAAGCGCAGGCGGGATGTTGAGCTCCTTCTCGGCTCCAGGAACGAGGAATGTGTTCACGACGGCGTTGAGCTCGACGCGGTATGCCGAGTTCGGGGCGATGCGAGTGGGGATAACTGCTGGGACATTGTTGGCGCAGATGGGCTTGGCGCAGGCGTTGGCCCAGGACTTGATGCGGTCGCGACCGTTCGGGCCGACTTTGCTGTTGGGCCTGCATGCGGCTTCCGGAGCGATGAGGTGAACGATATTGGTCATGGTCTCGTTGGCTTTGAATAAGTTAGCTACTGCTGAGGGTGTAAAGAAATGGAGGGATAATACTC